TGGAGATCTGATATTACCACGATGATTACTATAATTCATATTTTTTATCACAATATATATTTCAAATATGTCTTTGTATATGCAATGTATTTTATATTTCCAATATTTTTTTTATTTTTTTAATTAAATTTTCGAATATAAGATTATATGCAAATTATATTATAATAACCTATATCGAAACTTTTTATTATCTTTTCACAGTCTTCTATCTTAACCTCACATTTTTATCCTAAGCAAATCAAATGATTTTAAATTTTTTAAATTAACGCCATCTAAGTGAAAACATCATGATATATCAATACTACTCAAATAAAGGGATCAAGAGGGCAGCATATTTCAAATTCACTAGTAATTTTCATCCACTAGATCTTTCCTTTTTCTCCTGTTTGCAAGACTCCTGTTTAAGTCAGGCCGCGTAGCGGTTTTCCTACGGCATCGTTTACAACTTGCGACGCGCATTCTTGGCAGGATTGTGGAATGTGGATCGAAGGCACGCGAACGTAAGCTTACAAAAGGACATTCTTGATCATGACCGTGCAGCATATGTGGTGCACCACGAGAGTCCCGATGTTTCGCCATCGTTTAAGGAATTGAACACTTCAGATGAGCTGCTTATTCGCTTTTACCGTTAAATTTGTTGAACATTCTATGTAATTTCTTCGAGTTGTTATCATTTTTTTTATCCTGAGTTATTTTTGTGCTTGCTATTTACTGTGATTTGTGTTTAAAACATCTTAACAATTTACAATAGTTTCTAAATCTTTTTTATAGTTTCAATAATGTCAACGTGAAAAGTGTTTTTGAAATACGTAGTATCCTATTTTCTAATTTTTGTTCAACAATAGCGTGGTAAGTGCAAATAGCTTAAAATTATTTAATTTTTTATTTTTAAATAATTTTTAGTTTTTTTGTAATATACAATTCTATTGAAAATCAGTTCTATTAAAAATATTCTAATGTAATTTAATATATCATAAATGTATCTATTTTGATTAAAGTCGTAATTTTTTTTGTCGAATTTACGAATAAGTATGAATACAACAATCGTTATAATTTATATTTTCGCATAATTTATATTTATATTTGTTTCTTAATTTTTATCTTGATTTTCGTATATACTTTTAAATCGAGTACTTATAAATTATTAAATAATGATCATATCGGCAGTTATGATATATTTGCTTTAATACCGGTTTTTGCACGCTTAAAGAATTATATTATACATTATAGCGACATTGTAGCTATTTAACATCTGACAAAACAAATGTTCATAGATGAATATAGTGTAGTGATGGTCGATCTAATGAATATAGAAGTTGCATTCTATACTAAATGCATTAAGAATGTTTAGTCTCATTTCATAGGCTTCATGTAGTCTGTGAACTCGTTTATTTATTACAATTCTGATAGAATTAATTTTCTTGATTTACTTTATGTTTCTTCAAGAAGTGTTGAAGTGAACATGTGGCTTATTAATTTTAAGCTTAAGTTAATACTTATTATTTAGTAATTCATTATGCAAAATTTGATAGTTTATGGAAGACATTAAATCGCACGCGATCTTAAATTTATTTATTAATTTAAATAAATATACATTATGATCGTATTTTTTTTAAATATCCTTTTACTAGATAAAATATATTAATAAGATTTTTTGATAAAATCAATTAAGATTCAATTATTATCATATATCCAATGATCAGAGTCTATTCTTTTTTTAAAGATACACTTAATCTAAAATATAAAAATTTTTATAAAAATTCTAAATATCACAACTTGATCATAAAAAATTCAAACTCATTTAACTCTTTTAAAAATTTCTACTTTTTTCACAAATTTTTTGGACATTTTGAACATCTTTTATATTACATTGAAAGTATCGTATATACAAGATATACTCGAATATACACAATATAATCGAAAATTTTGTTAAATATTCATCATCAATATATCTTTGATTCTTCTTGATTCAATTAAATTCATAAAGAATAAAAAAAATTAAGAAAGAAAAATGAAAGAAGAAAATAAAAAAAAAACCGTTTTATTGGTCGGTAGATGATACTCGAGCTGATGTACCGTGGCTTATAACAAAAAGCAATCGGTCGATGAAACGAGTACTGGTTATTTAACGCCGTTGCCTTTATACCTGCTTATTGGTTGGCTGTCTTGTTGCACGAGTTTTAACTGTGCAACCCCACCTTTTCGCTGGATGTAACAGTACCGTATTCTCAGTCTTACTATGCAGTCCAAGGCTCATTCATTATTCATACACCATTCGTTGATACTCTGGTTGTTTATAACGTGATTGTATGCAGTTTAGATAATGAAAATTTGAAAATCGATCTCCGTGCACCTAATGAAATTATCAATAAAATATAACAAATATCAATTTATCAGTAAAATTATAGTATAAAATAATCATAATCTTTTATGTACAAATGAGTGTATAAAACAAAATTTTATATAAATTGTTAACTTTCTTAATTTGTTATCAACAGAGAATGGCATTGAATGGTCTTAAATGGTATTACGAGTAAAGATATAACATTGAATGATGGATAAAATTAAGATAAAAATGAATCGTTAATCTTTTTCAATTTATTTGTTTAACTTTTTTTTAAGTATTAATATTATCTTTATTTTTAAAAAATTTTTAAAATTGGTAATATGAAATATTACATGTAAATTATATTAATTTTTTTTTTTATAAATTCTTGACAATTATAATCATGCAAAATGAATGAAACTAAGAAAAATCATTTTTGTATCTTGTATATGAAAATTGTAACTATTGGCTGATAATGACTCATCATCCAGTTATCCTTTTTTCAATCCCGATTCTATAAAACATTAATAGCGATCAGAGTTTGATGAATTAAGTGGTAAAAAATAATAAACGGGACAGTGATGTAGCTAATACTTGCTTCGTTAACTATTATGTAGATTCTCAGATCTGTTATTAACGAGTGATCACATTGATCGTTATACATGCGACGAGCACACCAAACCTACAAATTATATGACAGGAAGTAACGTATTTGCTTTACTATATAATGTACATTCTATAAACTCACTGTCGTACTGAATTAATCATTGTAATGGTGAATGTGCGATGATTGATTCTAACACATAATTTACATTGATTTACAAGGTATTCGAGATAAAAACTTGTTTCCCATATTGCTAATTAATAATAAATAAAATAATAAATAGATATTTATATTTAGAATAATAAATAACTTTCGTATAGAAATGAAAATGTATTTCAATCGTGTTTTTGTTTATTTTTCTTAGAATATGTTATTTTTACGTTTGAATCTTCATTTTAAAAAATAACGTATTCATAATAAAATAATAAAACATATATAATTTTACATATGTTTATAATACACATATAATTTTTGAATATTTATTTAAGTATTCGATAATTGTTTATGAAATTATGACATGTACGTATATTATTGATTAAAATAAAAATGGACGACACAATTTAACACAAGAACAACTTAACTTGACATACAATTTCATTTTATGAATTGTCTCATATCAGTCATTGTTAATGAATTAAGTTTCATTTTTAAAATGCGCTTTATTTTTATATTGACTCGTGTTTATTTACTTCTTATTCGTTGACGTAAATACTTACTGTTCCACATTATGGATTCCACAAGATGTCAGTTAACCAGAAAGAAACGATTTTCATTTCCCAATGGCCTTGATAGACCGGCATAAGTGATCAGACGGCATTCCAGCAATCGCGAGAACGTCGCGCTTCAGGCGCGCACTGCGATTAAATATAATAATGTAGTCGAGCCGTTTGTTGGCCCATGAGCATTTCTTCGGGCCCTAATCATCGTTCATAAGATCATTCGATCGAATGTATCGGAGAAATCAATGAAGCTATAAATTAAAAAGATATCGAAATACGACTATAACAAAGTTATAGAAAATTGATTAATAAATAAATTGCTATACATTTTTAATTAAATATAAATAAATAAAGTTTTATCTTTATTATTGCATTATTATCTTATGTTTATTATTGTCTTAATTATTATCATAAAATTAATTAAATATCATTTAATATTTTTTATTTTTATTGTAATTATTATATTTATTATTAATTATATTTATTATATTTATTTATATTTAATATTAATATTGAAGTTAATTATTTACATAGAATATTATAAGGAAATTAATTCTTTATTTTAGATAATAGAATCATAAATTGAGTTTTAATATTTATGATTTTATTATTATTATATATTTTATGAATTATTATTATCTATAAAAACTGCAGTATATACATTTTTCATAAATATTTATTTTATTTGTAAGACGCTATTAAAATTATGCTTATCTTATTTGATTTCCGTATTGATTTTCATATATATTCTTCAACTGTTTAAACTGTCAAAATTAAAAATGATTGATTGTTCAACTTAAAATATTTATTTTTAAAAGTTTATGACAAGCAGAAGTGGTCGGATGACGGACCCAATCTATCTCATTTCTTATTTTCAATAAGCGCATTATCATAATATGTTTTCTCAAGGCTGTCTAGCAGTTGTTACTTTTCACATGATGCAATGCAATTGAATGTCCATTTTATCATAGCAAGATGCTCATATACAGGCGCCTATTAAGGCCCACTGTTTACGCAATACATACGATGCCAATAGCCAACATGCATTCCGCTCTTTTACTTACTCATGCACGCAAATACATGTACACGTGTGTACGTTGGAATGCGAATATCATTGTGCCAGAAGTCCACCGATCCCTTCTCATAAATTTTGCGACTATATTATACAATTACATTCACTTAATTCAAAAATTGAAAGTTTTTTATAAAATTTTATAAAATTTAGGAAAAAATTAAAATAAAATTATGAGAATTTTAGGAATTAATTAAATGATTATATATGTTTAAATAATTTCAAATTTATATTGCAAATTTGAATTATAATATTAATTTATTTTATTGTAATTTGTAGGTTCGTCTGGAAAGTATAGGAGCAGAAGATATAGTAGATGGAAATCCAAGATTAATATTGGGTTTAATCTGGACTATTATTTTGAGATTCCAAATTCAAGAGATAGAAATTGATGTAGATGAAGAAAATGATAGTAGTGAAAAGAAATCAGCCAAAGATGCTTTGCTACTCTGGTGTCAAAGAAAAACTAATGGATATCCTGGTGTTAACATTCAAGATTTCACTGGTAAGTATAACATTTTTAGTATCATAATTATTAATCATAAAATTGATTAACAATTTATATATTAATATATTAATATAATTAATTGTAGGATCGTGGAGAAGTGGTCTTGGTTTCAATGCCCTTATTCATGCTCACAGACCAGATTTGGTTAATTGGTCAGAACTTCAACAAAACAAAAATATCGACAATCTTAATTATGCTTTTGACGTGGCTAATTCAGAACTTGGAATTCCGCGGCTGTTGGACGCGGAGGATGTTGATACTGCCAGACCTGATGAAAAATCTATTATTACTTATGTTGCTTCTTATTATCACACTTTCGCCAGGATGAAAAACGAGATCAAAAGTGGTAAAAGAATTGCGAATGTAAGTAAATTTTTCTACTATATCTGTTAGTTTTGATACAATTATTGGTACAATTATTAAGAAATTTAAAATATTAATTTTAACAATCATAGATTGTGGGGCAAATGATGGATGCTGATAAAATGAAAATTCACTATGAAAAGCTCACAACAGATTTATTAGAATGGATCAAAATGAAGATAGGAGTTCTAGAGAATAGGAATTTTCCTAATTCCTTGGAGGGCATTCAGAGAGAATTATTAGCGTTCAAGCAATATAGAACGGTAGAGAAACCACCAAAATACAAGGAAAGATCAGAAATAGAAGCTCTATACTTTCACATAAATACCCAATTAAAATCATTAAATCAACCTGCGTTTACACCTCAAGAAGGTCAATTAATACATGATATTGAAAGAAATTGGGTAGAATTAGAACGGGCTGAGCATCGTCGAGAAGTTGCCTTAAGAACTGAACTTCTTAGGCAAGAAAGATTAGAACAATTAAACTATAAATTTGAAAGAAAAAGTGTACTAAGAGAAGGTTATTTAAAAGAAATGATTCAAGTTTTAACAGATCCTAGATACGGTAGCAATTTAGCTCAAGTAGACGCTACAGTGAAGAAACACGAAGCTATTAGTGCAGATATCTTAGCTCGTGAAGAACGTTTTCATGATTTGACTAACATGTCGGAAGAACTAGTAAGAGAAAATTATCATGGGTTAGAAAGAGTGAGAATCAGAGAACAAGAAGTACTTCAGAGGTGGAAAGAACTTTTAGCTCTTCTAGATCATCACAAATCTAATTTAGTTGCCTTAAGTTCTCTCATGAGTCTTATGCGAGAGATTGATACAACTTTGGCTTCTATTCAAGAGCTGCAACTGAATTTTCAAAGTACAGATGTTGGTCCACATCTATTGGGAGTTGAAGATTTGTTACAAAAACACAGTTTGCAAGAGTTGCAAGTAACTGCTCTAGGGGAAACTCAAAGGAGATTAGGTAGACAAGCTGCTCAGCATTTAGCACAGCCTCAGAGTAAAGAAGTTCCTTTATTACAACAAAAACTAGAAATGTTAAATCGAGCTTATGATGATTTAGTAGAATATAGTAAGGAACGTAAAGCTCGGCTAGAAGATGCTAGGAATTTCTTCCATTTTCTTCAGGATCATGAGGATGAAGAATCTTGGTTGATTGAAAAACAACGTATTTGTAAAGCTGGAATATCGGCCAAAGATTTACGTGCTGTAATTTCATTACAACAAAAACATAAAGCTCTTCAAGATGAAATGAAAGTACGGAGACCGAAGTCTGAACAATTATGTGACGCCGGTAGAAAATTGATAGCTGATAATCATCCTTCAGCTTTGGAAATTCAAAATCGTATTGATTCGTTGCAAGAACATTGGAAAGTATTGGAGGAGTTGGCTGCTCTGAGAAAAAAACAGTTAGATGATGCAGCAGAAGCTTTTCAGTTTTATGCAGATGCAAATGAGGCGGATTCCTGGATGAATGAGAAAATGGCCCTTGTGACTTCTGAAGATTATGGCGTTGACGAACCTAGTGCTCAAGCGTTATTACAAAGACATAAAGATTTGGAAGGAGAACTCAATGCTTATAAGGGTGATGTACAATCATTAAATATGCAGGCTGAGAAACTTATAAAATCTGGAATTTCTACACTTGAGTTATCTGCTGATCCAGAACCTGTTGCAGAATTAGAACAAGAGGAATGGAGTAAGTCTTTTTTTTTTTAATTAAAATTTTTTTAAATTTTTTTCAAGGCAAAAATTAGAAAATACTTTGTTTCTTATTTTAGGTAAAGAAATAAGGCTAGTTCCTCAAGATGAATGGGTGGATGAAATAGTAGAAAGATTAGAACCTAGAACGGTTCTTGAAGAGAGATTAGTGCCTCAAGTAAAAAGTTTGTATCCATTTAGTGGTCAAGGTATGCACATGGTAAAAGGCGAAGTAATGTTTTTATTAAATAAAACAAATCCTGATTGGTGGAGTGTCAGAAAAGCAGATGGTACAGATGGATTTGTACCAGCAAATTATGTTCGTGAATTAGAACCTAAAATAATACATGTTCAGGTGAGAAGACCAGAAAAAGTTAGAGTAACACAGAGAGTGAAAAAAACAAAGATGGTTAAACAGTTAGTTCCTGTAAGAAGAGTGAAATCTATAAAATCAACAGTGAAGCCAGTTAAAAGGAAAATTGCTACTGATGGAGATAGCGTAGAAAAACGACAAAAAAAGATTAATGAAACTTATAGTGAACTTCAAGAATTAGCGCTAAGACGACATGCATTATTAGAGGATGCTATAAGACTTTATGGTTTTTATCGTGAGTGTGATGATTTTGAGAAATGGATTAAAGATAAAGAAAAAATGTTGAGAACTGATGACCCACGGGATAATGTTGAAACTGCTAAAAGAAAATATGAAAAGTTTCTTACAGATCTTTCAGCATCAGGAAAAAGAGTAGAAGCCATAGATGCAGCTGTTGATGAATTTGTTAGACAAGGACATAGTCAATTGGATAAAGTTAAAGCTAGACAGAGACACATTCATCAACTTTGGGATCATTTGAATTGGCTGAAGACACAAAAAGAAAAAAGTTTAGAAGGAGCATCCAGTGTGGAATTGTTTAATAGAACTTGTGATGAAGCTCATGACTGGATGTTAGAAAAAATTACACAATTAGACACTGCAGAACTTGGACCAGATTTAAAAACAGTTCAGGCTCTTCAAAGAAGACATCAACATTTGGAAAGAGAATTGGCACCAGTTGAAGAAAAAGTACGAAAAGTAAATTTATTAGCCAATAGTGTAAAGAGTTCTTATCCACATGAATTAAATAATGTAAATGCTAGACAAAATGAAATAAAAGAATTATGGAATCAAGTTCAAACAAAAGCTAAGGAACGCAGATCCAGATTAGAAGATGCAGTAGGTCAACAGATTTTCATGAATAGTTCAAAGAATTTAATAAATTGGGCTGTGGATATACAAGAAACGATGAAAGTTGAAGAACCTGTTAGAGATGTTGCCACAGCTGAACAACTTAGAAAACATCATATTGAGCTTGGAGAAGACATACGAACTCGAGAAGATGAGTAAGTATTTAAATTTCAATATTCTTTAAATTAATTTAGATAAAGATATAAACAATTTTATTTTTTGCAGATTTCGTGAGGTAGAAGAACTTGGAAATCAATTATTGCATCGTAATCCGACTTTAGTAGATGTCAGTGAACGCTTAGATAAATTGCATGGCTTATATCAAGCTGTAACATCAGATTGGATTGCAAAAGAAGCCTGGTTGCAACAATGTTTAGACTTACAGCAATTTAATCGCGAAGCTGATCAAATTGAAGCTACTACTAGTTCTCATGAAGCATTCCTAGAGTTTACTGACTTGGGAGAATCTTTAGATGATGTTGAAGCTTTATTAAAACAACATGAAAAATTTGAGAACACTCTCCATGCACAAGATGATAGATTAAAAGCATTTAGTGACACTGCAGATAAATTAATCGCTCAAAATCATTATGATAAAGATTATATCAATGATAGAAGGAATCAAGTCTTGGCTCGAAGGAATCAAGTGAAAGATGCTGCACAACGTCGCCGCGCAGCTCTTAAAGCCTCGGAACATTATCAACAATTTTCTGCAGAAGTGGATGATCTAAGAGATTGGCTAGGTGACAAAATGAAGACAGCATCCGATGAAAGTTATCGGGACTTAAATAATCTTGAACGAAAACTTCAGAAGCATGAAGCGTTCGAAAGAGAATTAAGAGCTAATGAAGGGCAATTAAGAGCAGTGAATAAAGCTGGAAAAGCTTTGATATCTGAAGAAAATTACAGATCAGACGATGTAGGAGAAACTTTAAAAGAATTAAATGATCAGTGGAATCAATTAGTAGATTTATCTTTGGAAAAAGGTCGTCGATTAAGACAAGCTGCTTGTCAACATGGTTATAATCGAACAATGGAAGATGCTAGATTGAAACTGGAAGAAATAGAAAATTGCTTGCAAAGTAAACAAGTAGGAGTAGATCTTAGAAGTTGTAAAGAATTGTTGAAAAAACATCAGACACTTGAAAGCGATATGTGCCAATGGGAACAAAAAGTGGATGATTTAGTCGCCATGGGTGAAGAAATGGCTCATGAAGGTCATTTTGACGCCGCAAATATATTGAAAACTAGCCAAGCGACACAAAAAAAGTACGTAATATTTTGGATTTTATAAATAGCATGAAAAGAAGTTAAAAATTATCAAAGAGTTAATTTTTTATTTTTTAATAGATTCCGTAGCTTAAAAGAACCAGCTAAAAGAAGACGAGAAGCATTAGAAGAAAGTTTACGTTTTCATAAATTCGGTTTCGAATTAGATGCTGAATTACAATGGATAAAAGATCACCTTCCTCAAGCATCCTCGACGACTCTTGGACAAAATTTGCATCAAGCTCAAACATTGCATAAGAAACACAAAAAACTAGAAGCTGAAATTGTTGGCCATCAACCAATGATAGACAAAACATTGGCTTCCGGGCAAGCTTTGATTGATCAGGCCCATCCAGAGAAAAAAAAGGTAATGATATACGTAATAAAAACAATTATTTGAAAACATTTTAGGAAAAATAGATATTTTCTCTATTATTGTCTTTTTTTTTTTTTACAAATATGAATTTGAAATAAAAATTTATAATTTTTGCACAGTTGGGACTATTAGAAGAATATTGGGTCAGCAGAGGTAAGGTTGGCACAAATGCATGAATAGTGTTGTTTTGTTTGAAAAGTAACAATGTAATTTGCTAAATAGCTAAATAGCTGTCTAAATCTAATTTATATAATATATAATAAAATTTTTTAAAAAAGTTTTTTCAAGTAAAAAACAAAAAAGCTAAAAATTTTAAATATATATTTTAAAAACATATATATTTTAAAAAACAAAAATTTTTTACAGCATGCATGTGCTTGTCTTACATAATTTATTTCAAGATTAAAATATATTTTTTAAAATAATATATAGCATTTTATTATTGTGTTTTAAAATATTATATATATAATATTAATAGGATTTTACTTTATTTACTTTTTTTTTTTGATTAAAAAATTATATTTAAAATAAAAATGATTTAATGGTGGATGATAATATTGGTACCTTATGTTTTTATTTTAATATAATTAAGCAATAAATTATACTTTAAATCTATAATTAAAAAATTTTATTTATGTACAGATACGAGAATTATGCGATGTACTCGACGAAGCGTGGAGAGGACTCCAAGAAAAGGCCGCAGAACGAAACAAAGATTTAGAATTATCTTTAAAAGCACAAGAATTCTTCTTTGAAGCAGGGGAAGTTGAAAGTTGGCTGAATGAAAAGAATGATGTTCTCAGTTCCACTGATTATGGCAGAGATCGCGATGCCGCTACAAAATTATTAACAAAACATAAAGTGAATTTTTATAATATTTTTTTTAAAAAGGCATACATTTAACATTTTATTAAAAAATTATTATTCCTACAGGCAGTTGAATTAGAATTAGATACTTATAATGGTATTGTAACAGAAATGGGACATACTGCTGCCACTATGATTAATGCAAAACATCCTGACAGCAAAGCAATAGCAAATAAACAGCAAGCAATCGCTCAACAAATGCGAGCATTACAAAGATTGGCTACAGTAAGACAACAACGTTTGATGGAGAGTATGTATCGTCATGAATATTTTCTAGAAAGCAGAGAATTAGAACAATGGATTAAGGAACAGGAACAAGCGGCCGCTTCTGAAGATTATGGCCAAGATTATGAACATTTGTTGATACTACAAGCTAAATTCAATGATTTTAAACACAGAATAGAAGCTGGTTCTGAAAGATTTAATCAATGTGAAGAGTTGGCTAGAAAATTAATTGCTAATGAAAGTCCTTATATTCAAGATATCGAGAAACGACAAGAGCAATTAGGGTAAGATTTTAAATATAACTTAATTTCAATAATATATATAATATAAATTTAGAATTTTGTATAAGTTACATAAAATCTTTAATTTCACTAAATGCATGTGCACTTTCTTGAATTTTTGTAATAATAAATACTAGCACAATTTCTGCTAATATAGTTTTTAATATGGTTGTAAAAAGGTAATATAATGAAGGGTATAATTATATCGGTGTTGGGTTATTAACAACATTTTTGTATATATATTTAATGCAGACCAGATGATGATGATCCTGTAAGACAGGTGCAAAAACAGCATGATCTTATTAAGTAAGTATATATTGATGGATTTTATAACATTGTTTAATGTAAATATTGCATGTTTCATAATTCTACCGAATATCTATAATTGATAAAAATATTTTAATGATCAAATTTAATTAATTAGGGAATCTTGGAAACATCTTCTTGGTCTTATTCGAAATCGTGAGCAAAGGTTACAAGCTGCTGGTGAAATTCATAGATTCCATCGAGATGTAGCTGAAGCTTTATCTCGTATACAAGAAAAAGAGGCAGCTTTACCAGAAGATTTAGGACGCGATTTAAATTCTGTACTTGCATTAATTAGACGTCACGAAGGTTTTGAAAACGATCTAGTCGCTTTGGAGGCACAACTTCAAGTTCTAGTTGAAGATGCATCTAGGTTGCAAGCACATTATCCAGGAAATAACGCAGTACATATTGATCAACAACAACAAATTGTTGTTGCTCATTGGGAAGAATTGAAAGAAAGATCTGCTCTTAGAAGAGATCAATTACAAGCAAGTTGTGATCTACAACGATTTTTGACCCAGGTCAGAGATTTGATGAATTGGGCAGCTGGACTTCGTGCCGCAATGTCAACGGAAGATAAAGTAAGAGATGCAGCTAGCGCACAAATCTTAAAGGCAGAACATGAAGCTTTAAAAGGAGAAATCGAAGCTAGAGAAGATAGCTTTAGTTCAGTTCTTGATTTGGGCGAAGCTATGGTTCAAACTGGGCATTATGCTGCTTTAGAAGTTGAAGAAAAATGTAATCAATTATTAGATGAAAGACAAAAATTACATACTGCTTGGCAACAGAAAAAAGTACATTTAGATCAATTAATAGATCTACATTTCTTCTTACGAGATGCTAAACAATTGGACAATTTATCAACCACTCAAGAAGCTGCACTGAGTGGTGATAACTTTGGTGATTCTGTTGAAGAAGTAGATGCCCAAGTAAAGAAGCATAATGAATTCGAAAAATTATTAGTAACACAAGAAGAAAAGTTAACTGCTTTACAAGAACACGGAGATAAGCTTCTAGCTCAGAATCATTTTGATTCGCCTACGATTGCTAGAAGATTAAGCGAAGTTGTACAAAGACGAGCAAGAATTCGAAATTTCTGCGATGCACGAAGAAGAAGATTAGAAGCTGGTTTATTACATGCTCAATTCGTTAGAGATGTTGCAGAAGCTGAATCTTGGATTGGTGAAAAGCAAAAGAAACTCGAGGCCGAAGCATCTAAAGGAGAAGTATCTAGTTTGGAGGATAAAATCAAGAAGTTACAAAAACATCAGGCATTCCAAGCTGAATTAGCAGCAAATCAGAGCAGAATCGAAGAAATAAAGGCTAAAGGCGAGAGATTGCTTCAACAGAAGCATCCAGCAAGTGCTGAAATTCGACAACAACTAGAACATCTTCATGCTTCATGGAGAAAATTGCTATTGGAATCTGGAAATCGTGGTAGAGGTTTAGAAGAAGCTCAGGATATTTTAGAATTCAACAATCAAGTAGAGAAAATAGAAGCCTGGATAAGAGACAAAGAAATGATGGTCCAAGCTGGAGATACTGGAAAAGATTATGAACACTGTTTAAGTCTTCAAAGGAAACTTGATGATGTAGACAGTGATATGAGAGTAGATGATTCTAGAATAAAGACAATTAATGCTTTAGCTGATAAATTAATTAAACAAGGCAGGGACAATGAATCAAAAGCTATTCAACAACGTCGTGACAACTTTAATAATAAATGGAAAGGCTTGCAAGGAGCATTGAGCACTTACAGAGAAATGTTAGCTGGAGCTTTAGAAATTCATTTGTTTAATAGAGATATAGATGACACAAGTCAAAGAGTCATTGAAAAATCAGTTGCTATGAATACTACTGATATCGGTAAGGATCTACCTGCTGTTGAACATTTACAAAGAAAACAAGAAGCAATGGAACGTGATATGACTGCCATTGAAGGAAAATTGAAAGAACATAAAGCAGAAGCTAGAGAATTATCATTGAAATATCCAGACAAAGCACCTCAGATAAATGGAATATTATCAGAATTACAATCTAATTGGGACGACTTACAACGATTTACTCAACATCGTCGCGAAGCTTTAAATCAAGCTTATACTTTACATAAATTCCAAGCTGACTTACATGAGTTAGAACTTTGGGTAGCTGATACAATTAAACGTATGGATGAATCTGAACCACCAACAACCATATCTGAAGCTAAAGCCTTATTAGAACTTCATCAAGAAAGGAAAGCAGAGATCGATGGCAGACAGGATACATTCAAAGCCTTGAAAGAGCATGGACAGAAGCTTATAACTATTAATGAAGATGTCAAAGATAATTTGGAACATCTAGAGAAACTTAGACAAGGATTGGCCAATGCTTGGGAAACTAGAAGACAAAAATTAACACAAGCACATCAATTACAATTATTCAAGGAACAGGCAGATCAAGCAGACAGTTGGTTAGCAACAAAAGAAGCATTTCTTAACAATGACGATCTTGGTGAATCTCTATCTGGTGTAGAAGCATTATTACGTAAACATGAAGAATTTGAAAAAATGCTGATTTCTCAATTAGGTCGTATTGAAGAATTAGAAAAATTTGCAAATGAAATTTTATCAAAAGAACATGCAGATGCTAGCGTTATTAAGCAACGATTAGCATCTGTTTGTACTAGAAGAGATAAATTACAGAATAATGCAAGAGCAAGAAGAAAGAAATTATTGGAAAGTCATCATTTACATCAGTTCCTTCGAAATATATACGAAGTTGAAGGTTGGCTTCATCAAAAACAACAAGTAGCAAGTGATGAAAGCTATAGAGACTCGTCTAATTTACAGAGTAAAATTCAAAAACATGTTGCATTTGAAAGTGAACTTATGGCAAATAAGGGACGAGTAGCAGCAGTAGTCAATGAAGGTAATATAATATTAATATAGAGTTATTCAATGATATCCAAAAATTTAGTTATATAATATCATCATATATTTTTAAATATATAATATGTATATGTTTCTTGTTGAAAATTATTCTTAATTTTAATAATTTTTTTATTAGGTGAAGCACTAATTGAAGAAAACCATTATGCTTCAAATAGTATTCAAGAGCGTTTAGATGAATTAGAAGCTGAGTGGCGTATGCTTCAAGAAACCAGTGAATTAAAAAAGAATAGATTAAATGACGCTTACCAAGCTTTACTCTTCGGACGAACTTTGGATGAATTCGAGACATGGATGGATGAAATAGAAACTCAATTGCAATCAGAAGATCATGGAAAAGACCTTTCTAGTGTAGCTAACTTATTAAAGAGACATACAAACTTGGAAAACGATGTTTTAGGTCATAATGAAGCTTGTGAATCAATTAAAGAAACAGCGACTAGTTTTCAGAAATCGAATCATTTTATGTGCGATGAAATACAAGACAGAGCGATGGCTACAATAAATAGATATCATAGTTTACAAGAACCAATGCAGATAAGAAGAGATAACTTAGAAGATGCTAAATTACTACATCAATTTGCAAGGGATGTTGAAGATGAACTACATTGGTTATCAGAAAAAGAACTTTTAGCTGCAAGCAATGATTTAGGAAGCTCTCTGACCACTGTACAACGATTGCAAAAAAAACATCAAGCTTTGGAAGCGGAATTAATTTCCAGAGAACCTGTAGTCGCGTCTCTAGTTAGTAGAGCTACAGTTATGGTAAGAAGCAGTCATTTTGCTTCAGAAAAAATTGAAAAATTGTCACAAGAATTACAAGATAAACTTTCACATCTTAAAGATTTAGCTAGTGTTAGAAAATTACGTTTACTCGATGCTGTTGAATCACAAATGGTAATAATCATTTTATTAATATATAGAAACTAATTTATTAGACAGATAATTATAATGTTTTAATATTTATTTGCTAGTTTTATGCTGAAGCAACAGAAGCTGAACAATGGATTAAAGAGAAACATCCACAATTAACTGCTACAGATTATGGAAAAGACGAAGATTCTGTTCAATCACTGTTGAAAAAATTAGAGGAAATAGAACGAGATTTAATTGGTTTTGAGAATAATACTATTGAAAACTTGAGGAAACTTTCACATGGACTCATAGATAGACATCATTTTGATAGTAATAATATCACACAGAAACAAACAGAAATCGAACAGAGATTTAAGGAATTACAAAAATTAAAAGAGTATCGATTTCAACGATTACGTGAAAGCGAGAAATTCTTTAAATTTATTAGACAAGCAGATGAAGTTATTGAATGGATTGGAGATCAAACAACCGTAAGTTTCTTATAATAAAAGCTTTTTTTTTTCAATATATTACAGATTCTATTGTTATTATAATATAAAAATAATTTTTTTCAGGTTGCTGCTTCAGAAGATTATGGTCGCGATGTAGAACATGTAGAGCTTCTCATTCAGATATTTGATAACTTTTTAGCCGGTTTAACAACAAGTGAAGGTCGAGTATCAGCAGTATTAGATGAAGGACAAAAATTAATTCAAGAAAATAATCCAGAAAAAACTAAAATTTTAATGAAAATCGACGAAACAAAGCAACAATGGGAAGATTTAAAGGAATTAGCGCATGCTCGACAAGATGCATTGGCAGGTGCAAAACAAGTACATATGTTCGATAGAACTGCTGATGAAACTATTTCTTGGATTCAAGAAAAAGAAACTGCTCTTAGTTCTGATGGTTATGGTCATGATTTGGAAACAATCCAAGCATTGGTAAGAAAGCATCAAGGATTTGAGACGGATTTAGGTGCTGTAAAAGAGCAGGTATTTCATAAATATCTCTTTTGATGTAAATGTAAATTCAAAGTACAAGCTAAAAGAATTTTGTTGTCAGGTTGAATTGCTGATGGACGAAGCTTCTAGATTAATTGAATTATTCCCAGATGCTCGTTCACATATAGAAGTAAAACATCAAGAAGCTGAAGCAACTTGGAATGAATTATTAGAGAAAGCAGCTCAAAGAAGAAGCAAACTCTCTCAAGCAGAACAACTGCAGGCATACTTGGGTGAATACCGAGACTTGATGTCCTGGATAAATGAAATGGTAGCCAAAGTAACAGCTCCTGAATTAGCTCGTGACGTGCCAGGTGCTGAAGCATTGATATTGAGACACAATGAATATGAAACAGAAATTGAAACACGCAACGAAGCATTTGATAAATTTTACAAAACGGGTCAGGAATTGATAGAAGAAGGCCATTTTATGGCAAGGGAAATAGAGGAGAAAATATCTGTTTTACAACACAGACAACAGTTTCTAAAGGACACATGGGAACAGAGAAGACATATTTATGAACAGAATCTAGATACTCAATTGTTCAAACGTGATGCAGAAACATTGGAAAATTGGATTGTGAGTAGAGAACCTATGTTGAACGATGGTAAGTTAGGAGAAAGTATTTCTCAAGTAGAAGAATTAATACGGAAGCATGAAGATTTTGAGAAGACTATTGAAGCGCAGGAAGAAAGATTCAATGCTCTTAAGCGTATAACTATGTTAGAAAAAGCATTCCAAAAGCAGCAAAAGGCAGAAATGGCTGCCAGACAAGCAGAGAAGGAAAGAATAGAACGTGCACGTTTTGAAGAGCGGAAACGCAAGGAAGTACAAAGGATAACTGAGGAAAGGAAACGTGAAGAAGAACGAAGAAGACTACTTGATAGTCCTCACCATGCTGTGCATGATGAATTTAATGGAACAACTGAAGAACATGAATCTATTAATAAACTATCGCCTCTGAAAGCTTCAACCACAACTGAAGGTTTAGATTCGACACCAGTGCAAAAGCCACATGGTATTTCTCATGTATTTGGTGAGAAGTTGAGAAGAACAACTCCTGATATTAAACGAGCAGAGAGTATGAAAGTAGATACGAAAAAACCGAAAAGAACACCTAGTTCACGACCAGAAGAAGAACTCAGAGCTTTAGGAAACTTCAGAGGATGGAAAATATGGATGCTCTTCCGCCAGTAGAAATTCAAGGTCTATTAGAAAGGAAACATGAACTTCAAAGTGCTGGTAAAAAAGCAGCTGTACGTTCGTGGAAGCAATACTATACAGTATTATGTGGACAGCTTCTGTGTTTCTTTAAAGATATGGAGGATTTCTCATCAAGTAAAGCAGCCACTGCTCCTATTACTATTTTCAATGCCATATGTGAAAAAGCAGATGATTACACCAAAAAGAAAAATGTGTTTAGATTGAAATGTACAGATGGATCAGAATTTTTGTTCTTAGCACCAAGTCAACAAGAAATGGAAGATTGGGTCAATAAAATATCATTTCACGCTAAATTACCACCAAGTCTACAATTATTAAGTTACGATGAATCGCAGAAGGAAGGTCTAGAAAGATTACAGAATGTAACTATAGATCATGTTGATGATACTATTTCAACTGGTAGCAGTCGTGCTTCGACTCCGGAGTTAGAACGAAAAAATTCTGTGATCAGACGTGATATATCAAATCAACATTCGCCAAGTAGTGTACAAATTGAATTTCTTCAAATGCACAGACAAAATCAACAAAAACGCGATTTGCAAAGTAATACTGAATTTTTAGCTACTCAGAGGAATGAACCACCTCAGACACAGACAGAATTCTTACAAATGCATAGACAACAACAATTATTAGCACAGCAACAACAATTGATACAACAAGAACAATTGGCAAGCCAGAGAGATCAATATCAACCAAATTCCGGAGAAAAGCCACCTATTCCTCCAAGAGGGGCACCTCCTCCTATTCCAATGAGATCTCCTAGTTCAGAAACTATTCCGCAATATAGACGCGATGGTATATAGCTTAAATAAATTTTCTTTAAATTTCTTAAACAAAAAATTTTATGGAAATAAATAAAATAATAAAAAAAACTATGATATAATATGATTTTTTTGATTTTATAGATATAGAACAAATTCAAGGAAGACCCGGTTTTTATCAGCAACGTAATATAACATTAAATCACAATGGATCCAATCAATATTCATCTAATACAAACTGGCATAGACAGAGTGTTGATCTTAATCAAGGTATTTAGAAAAATTCTTTATGTATATGTGGAAGATCCCTTTTGTTTATTGTATGTCATTGTTTTGTAGAGTTAGCACCTCCCTTGCCATCAAGTGCTCCTCCACCAACCAGAATAGCTCAATGGGGTGTTCCTCATGATTCTGGTTAGTCATTGTTAATTGTTTATCAACAATTTATTCTTCTATGTTTTATTCAATCTTCCATTTGTTTTTATCCTGTATTTTCTTATCCTGAAGTCTTCCTAATATTTAACATATATTATATGAATTCAATTAAAAATATAAATTCTTTGTATTAATAATTGCTATGTACAAAAATTAATATAAGAAAATAAATATGTTGCAGCTTATGGAAACGTTCCCATAAATTCCAGACAGGTAATCAATATCATTTATATTATTTATATTTTTTTATTCAAGAAAATATATTTATTAAAGATAAAAAAAATAGATTAATTAGATAAAAAAAAACATACTCGTTTATAAGTTATAAAGATTTTTGATATAATATTATAAATAATATTATCATTATCATAACAATGTTAATGCATTTGTTATAGGGTATGCAGCAAAATAATTCCTTCACAGGTAGACCAGTATCTTTACCAGCATACGTGGATCCTCCAACAATTCCACAAAATTCTCAAACTCTCTCAAATATAGATAGTAGAAGAGCTAGCGAAAGTGGATCAGAAAGTGAACATAGCGTTGGTAGTAATCGCAAAGATCGCGATTACAAACGAAGTTCTGTATTAAGCAATTTATTTGGCAGACGTAAGAAACCTCAATCGTAACCCTAGTGACGATAATATTTACGCTTTACAGAATTTAATATATCTGTAATAAGCGTACAAATTTTTACGGAACAAAAAAAAAAAAAATAAAATCCCTTCAAATTAGGAAAAAAGTTTATATGTTACTTTTGTAGCATAAAATATGAAAAAATTCACACAAAATTTGTGTATTATACAAATTTTATTTTCTCGATCGCATTATTTAATAACGCGTTGAACTAATGTACAAAAAAAAAGGCTATATACAAACTATAACGCGAACAAAGAAAAAATACTTTATTCAAATAGTTAATGAAGTTACAATTTGACTTAATTTGAAAACAATATATTATATTATGAACATATATATCTTAAAGTTTTTTTTTCTTAAAAAATTAATTCCCTGATATTAATTTTCATACAATAAAAAAATATATAATAATTTAAATTTAATGGGACCATTTTTGTTGGATGAAATTTAAAAGTTGCTCTTATTATAATCTTCTGAAAAATCATATGGCATGTTCAATTCAAATATTAAATCAAAAGTTATCATATATATAAATGAATAATTTGTATCTTCATATTATTTATCTTAAAATGTGCAAATGTACATTTATATATCAGGGATTGAAAAATATTAAGACAAAAAAAAAGAAACAATCATTGAACAAAGAATTTTTAAAAAATTATTATTATATAAAGATTGATTTTCCATTTTGGAAAAATCTATTATGCAACATATAAATTTTATAATGACAAGAATTTATTATTATAGTTACTATGATTGTTAAATTGTTTCATAAATTTCTTTAGATGCACCATAAAGCTACAAAGGACAGAATTATGCTAGAATTATACCTTACACGCGATGAATGTTATTGAATTTATTTAAAGTGTGTACCTGACTTTAAGAGGAATGTTGAAATGTATGGAAGAGGAATATGCAATTGCGTGAATAATGTAAGGTTTAAGTTTTATAAATATCAGTAATATATGTTGCAAATAATTATATATTTGAAAATGCCTGTTCAGGACCAATGATCTTATAATTTAATTAAAATGCCAGAAATATGTATACATATTTTTTGAAAAAATCAAGAAACCGTCTTAAAGTTTAATGATTATACCATTTTTTTTTTTATAGTAAAATAATGTTACAATGTGTAAAGTGTATTTAATATTACATAAAGATTAATTATATATATTATGTAGACTGTAAGAGTTATTATAATTAAGTACATAGAACATCACTTTTTGCGCTAAAATATCACTGAGATCGAGAAAAAAATTATACAAATAAAAAAAAATTAAATTGATGAATTATATTTTTAAAATCCCAATAATTATTATTACAAAATTGATTAAACGTTTTTTTAGATTATGCTTAGAATTAATAATAAATTAATATGATGCAATAATACATTATTGCACTGAATATATTGAATATATCTTATTAATTAACATCATATTAACAGATCTTATTTTAGAATGCAAAATTCGTCGCATTTAGTGCTATGTTATGTTAAATTGAAATTAGTTAAGTATTTTCTAATATTAAACAACATTTTCTTTCTGTAATAGTTTAATATATACATATATTTATTTGGCATTATCTCTATTTTACATAAAAATATAATTGCAAAACTAAATATCAATAGATCAAAAGAAAATTACAAAAAAAATAAGATATCTTTATTCCAATAAAAAATATTATAATAAAAAAAAAAAGAGATCAATTACACAAATGCTAAAGATATAATTTGAGTACATCAAAAATACTTATGTTGCAAAGAATTTTACAGATTTTTATGTTTACTTACTATATAAATTAAACTTAATAAAGCTTAAAATAAGTCTCAAATGCAACAATAGTAATAACAACAAATAATTTAAATTCTACGAAATAAAATAAAATTTCTTAAAAATGTTCAATATTCAGTAATATTTATAATGAAATTATCACATTCATTAGTTAAAAAAAAAAAATTAACTTTATAATGATATCATTAGTAATTTACACTAAAAAAAAATTCATATTTTTAATCATAAATAATAAAAATTGATCTGTTTTCAATAAGAATGAGTTTATGTAATATAACCGGCAACAGACAGGTCACAATAAAATGGGGTATATTGTTAGTTACTAATAATCATCATGGCAATGGATACGTTAATAATTACACAATGGTTGGTGGTTGAAGAACAGCTGGTGCCCGTCTGACTTTTAGCGCTTCTGGACTTATGGCGCGCACCTGCTTTGTGATCTGATCATAGTCATATGTGACAGCCAATCCACCCTCCGAGTTCGTTTTTCTTGTGTATTCTTTATTCTGAGACAAGTTTATATTTTTTTGTCTGTCTGTCGTAGGTGTATTACTATAAAATGCATCTGCAGCAATACTACCCTCTTCTTCTTCTTGACGATATTGTCTACTTTTTAATCTTAACACTGAATACACAGCAATGGATATTAAAAGAAGAAGAAACAATAATCCTACTGCAGCTGCTGCTGCAATTACTCTCATCTCCGTTGGATCACGAATAATTAACTTGATATTAGTGGAATCTCTGCCTTTTTCACTTTCTACTAACAAGGTATATATTCTAGCATCCTCCGTTTGGAGATCTTTGATTACCAATTTTGCCCAATAGCAATTTGTTGGTATTTCGTTTTCTTTGATATGCTCTAACGATAATGCTTCATATTTTGGATGAATACTTTCACCTGAACAAAGAAAAAGAGTAATTGACGAATAATTTATGATACTCTTTGTAAATTTAATTTCTTCTTATTTTTAGAGAAGAAAAAAAGATATCGATTAAATCTTTTTCCAAATTCTAACATCTCCATCAAAAAGGATTCATTGATAAGTATATATCGAATTTAATATTTACCAGCTCTGATATGTGAGCTTCCCCATTGCCAAGCAACGAGTCTAGGTGGTGGTCTCGAACAGAAACGAGATTTCAAAATATGTTCCGGTTCGCCAGCCCATCCTAGCGACTCGTAAATGCCCTTTCCACCGGAAGAAGGCCTCGCCTGGATCTCAGGAGGTCCGGTTACGTGAAGCATATAACGAGCCTCGCTGGGCATTTCTCTCCGCACTCCGTTGATCACGTTGAATGCCACACATCGATATTCTCCTTCGTCGGACCACATTACATTCTCCAAACGCAATCGTTTACCACCATCTTTGGTCTGCAATGGATTCTCGATGGCCTCTGTTACGCCACCACGAAGATGCATCCATCGGTATTGAGGTGGAGGATTTGCCTCAAAGTCTGTACACTCAAAAGGTTCTAAACTTGTACCGAGTAGAGTAGTCTCTTCGAATTTTTTAATGGTATTATTATGAGCAGGATCTTCTGAATTTAACCTCGGTCCATCTAAAAAATAAAAATTTAACAATAGATTTAAAATGATACATTCTTTATGGATATTTAAAGGAAAATAGAATTTATCATTTAGAAAAATTCTAAGTGAAAAAAGACTGCAAAAGAAATCATAATTTCTAAAATTGATTGAAACAGAGAGAAATTTAATAACTGTTTCAATTTAAGCAAATCATGATACCATTAATAAGTGACAAACAAATGTTCTATCATTGCTCTATCTTTTCCTTCTTCGAAAAGCGGTTAAGACATAAAGAATGGCCATTAGTCAAGGAAAGTAGTCAAATTGACGTGTTCTCATAACTGATCACGGTTATTGTTCACGAAGGGGAAAAAAAAAAAAAAATAACACAGTAAAAGTCGGACTACGAACATTGTACATCCAGCCTGTAGTTAGCCGCGGTGCTTTCACCAATAATGTTGACCGCCTTGCAAGAATAGAGACCAGCGTCGTTTCTCTTGACCGGCTCGAATCTTAGCTCGGAGCCGGTCATCGTGCCGTTCTGCTGCGTTCTGTTTAGCATCAACGTTACTATGTTGCTTGTTACCGCGATGGGAGCTGAATCCTTGAACCACTTGATCGTTCCGCTGGGATTGCCGTCCGCGAAGCATTTCAGGCTCATAAAACTGGCCGAATCCTCAAGGGCTGAAACTAGAAGTCGTGGCTTCGTCTCTAATCTCACTTCAGGAGAATCTGAAAATTAATATCCAATTTAACAATAATTTCTTTTTAAGAGAGAATAAAAAATATAGTTAATTTTTTTGATTTTGTATATAAAATTTATGAGATTTTAACAGAGATACGATGCAAAACGCATTTCTTGATAATTTCTAAAATAAAGAGATTAGAAATCCATCCTTGGAAATCTTGTATAATCCTGATATAGAACTATTACTTTTCATATATAATATTCTTAAAAAAAAATACAAATTCGTCGAATCATCTTCTTAATTTCAATTGCTAAAAATTATCGTTCAACTTTTATTTTATTGAAGGAATTATCATCATTGCTCATCGTGTACATCATTTCATCAAGAGCTTTCCGAATCTATTCACTAAAATAGTTAAAAGTGAAGTGTAGCGTGAATTACAAACGCAGTTGTTTCCATTCTGTATAAATAGAAACTTGTCTATATATTTGTACAAAAGTAAGCGAAATATACATACAATGCACATCCAATCGTGTTTCCGCAGAAGCTGGAACGATGCTGGATGGATGCATCGTGATGCACTGAATCGGCAGACCATGGTTCTCCCTTTGTCCACGAACTCGGAGAAGGCTGTGGGCCGCTGAAGTTTTAGGACTGTCCACTTCCGTTGCATTTGTTTGTTCTCTCAATGGTTCTATTTCGTCTCCTCCTATATACCTGTATAAAAGAACAAATAATTAATATCTCTATTTTATTAATTTCTATTTTACACTTTAATAAAATAGAAATGTTCTGTTCTTATTAGAAAACTTTTTTGCAGATATATTTTTTTACCTATATAAAAGTCTCAGAAGAGTCTTCAAAAACAGAAATAAGAGAAAGGAAAATTATAATCAAGCAGAAATTAATTAAATTCAATACACAAAATTTTGTCACTATATCTAAACAGCAATTACGTTCAAGTTTCCGGAAAGCCATTTAGAAATTTCTCACGAATACCGATATTCAAGGTTTATACCCTTTCTAGAATGATTCACGGGGCGACTATGCCTGCAGCTAGTTTCTCCGCTTCTACAACTACAATCTGCATAATTACGATTGCCACTGTATCTTCAGTGCAACGAAGCAAAGGGAATGAGACAGAGAGTAAAGGAAAAAATATAAGAAAAAGACAAAATAGACAGCATGCCTATTAAAGGTTGTAAAAGAATCGCTGGAAGCTTGCTCCGTTACAATAGTCAACATAATTTCTACGAATGCAAGACAAAGTGTGAAATTAGGTACTGTTCTGGTGCTTTCTTCCTTCCATATTCGATTCATTTCTGCGAGAAAAACATAAGCATCTTGCTAACATAAGCATCTATTATGTAAGTAGTTGTAGAGCAAGTGTGTTCGCTCTTTTGCAGGCGTTGATGTCACAAAAGATATGGAAAATAGCAAAAAACTATGAATTGATTTGAATAAAAATTTAATCAAAAGAGAAATTTGATTAGTGTTTGAAACTTTTTTAATTAATAGAAAAAAAAATAAAATATTTAAAATTTTTTTGCTTGTTTTGGATATATTGAGTTTTATTTTTATTTTAGGAAAAAAATTGTTATAAATTTCACTATTTTAAAAAAATTCGTTTCTGAAAATGAATTTTAAAAAAAAAAAGAATATTTTTCTTTTTTTTTTTCAAGCAAGTATTTGAGAGATATAATTCCATGAAAAATGAAACGGATCGGATTCGATTCACGGACAATTACCAGTGAAACTTGTCCTCCATTTGTACGATTTCCTCTTTCAACTAAATCGTTTGCGCTTTCTAAGTATCGATTAATGATCTTTTAACAATAAGACTATAGAACTATAGAAAATTCCTTCTTTCCATAAAGAGAAACAATACAATTATGATTCCACATATCCAATTACAATCAATTAACTATGTTTTTCGACTTGGAAGTTATGTGAGTTTCTAATTTTATTAATATAACTTTTATATTAAAGGCAATGAAATAAAATATACGATAATTTATAATCCGCAATTACGATAATTTATCATCTTAAAGTCAGATGAGAATGTGTTTACACCGCATGTAACACGTGCATTCACAAATGCCAGGGGATCGTGGAAATTGTAACGCTGCTCATGCAAACGTGATGATCAGTATAGAGTGAGTTTTATGTTATAAGAATTTAGATGAGGTGTGGCTAACTGATCACTAGACCATGACATAAAAAAAGTTGCTGGCAAACTTCTCTGCTGCATAAATACCGCATTATAGCTTCTTATTTCATCTATTGCCTTTGTGAATTGCGTTTTTTTTGCATCTCTTGATGAAACTGTATTTTCATGAAAGTAGAAAATCTGTGAAGATAAAGAATCGGTGTCTAGTCACAGAAACGAGGAAACTTTTTAGAAAATTTTTCTTGTTGCTCTTGAAATATTCTACGATCTGATTGATCTATGATAAAACAGAATTACATTAATTTAATTCTTGTGGTTTATCAATATCCCTTATTAATCTTTTTATGTAAATTTATTTATAAAAGATAATAATATAATTTCACTTACAGTTAGCATAACTCTAAATGAAAGTAGTTGCAAAAACAATAGGAATTTAGTGAATACCGTTGTACAAGTGTTTTGTTGTTGAGTACAATTAAAATGAACCTAACGAGAGGACGAAAAATGAATCGACAAATCATTTTTATGATCAAATTGCTATTTATAAACTTTAGAATTTAAAAAACGAAATCTTAATGATTTTTAAATATACCATATATATATATATATATATATATATATATATATATATATATA